CACAGCAGCCTTCAAGCCCATCCGTAGGGCAGGGCAGCTCTGTCTCATGCTGTCCACCAACTGCAAGTGGCCACCGCCTGCCCCCCTGCAACACCTCTCAGGACCATCTGACCCCTAAGAACAGCTTTCCAGGCAGGGTGCACCAATCCTGGCTGGGCACATGGGCCTCAAGGGTGCAAATGCAGCCCCAGAAAGCTTTCAGCATCCTGCTCTGTGCAGCTGTGCAGGGACGTCCCAGCCGTCTGGTGCTGAGCCTTCCCCCCCCCCCAAAGCTCTGCTGATGGGGACGGAGCAGAAGGGAACACTGGCTTTCCTGGAAGCTACAGCTTCCAGGGTCTTCCCTGGTCCTAGTTCTTCAGAGGTCCCTCCAGCCCTCACCCGGGACCAGGCGAAGGAGCCACAAGAGGGTCAAGGAAGGGCAGGATGTCCGGAACAAGAGAGCAGCAGGATTTTCTCTGGCAGAGAAAGGGAATCGGGGAAGGTCGAGAGGCAGGGCCGCATGCAGCGCACGTAGCCAAAGCAGCTTATCCCCTCCCGCAGAAAGCAGGCCTCCTGCCACCCTCCTCACGGTGGCAGCCGTGGCAGAAGGGCGGCTGGGTTTCTGGGGCTGCCCTGCCCATTCGCTCACCTGCTGGCCTGCCCTCAAAACCCCGTTGGCTCAGCCTTTCCTGGAGAGTGCTAGCCGAGCCATCCTTTGCAAAGAGCCATTCCCACTCTCTCTATAGGGTCACACACGCACACACACACACACACACACCAGGAAAATTCAGAAACGATGCTCAGTGCAAAAGCTGCAAAGCTACTCCCCGGGCCTGCCTGGACCCCCCTTGGCCTTGACTTCTGGTCCACTTCCAGGAGCTGCTGACCCAGCTGATGCCAATCTTCCAGGCCCTTGACGCCTTGGGCCCTGCTAGTACAACACTGGGGCCACAGCCGAGACCCTCTCCTCTCCAGAGATGCTGCCAGAGGCAAACTGGGCTGCTTGGTGCCAGTGCTGGCTGGATACCTGTGTGACTTTGTTATCTGGCTGTGGGGCCAGAGGTTGGGACTTCGATTCCACCACGATGCATCTCCTGTGAGCTTTGGGCAAGCTGCACGGTAGTCCCAGGGCACCCCCCCCCCAGAAGAAGAGAAGGGGGGAAACACTTCCGTGTGTTCTCTCTCTGGAAAAGCCTGAACAGGGTCACCATAAATCTGAAAAGACTTGACAGCACAGGATGATAATGATGATGATTAGCGTCAGCAGACTGTCTGTCAGGATCTGGAAGGCCTTGGGGGTCAAGGTGGGAGGGAATTCCTCCTACCCCCTAAAAGGAGCAAAGGCCCAGCAAGAGTCAGAGCCCTCTCCCCCCCCCACAGACACAGGGAGAGGGGGAGGCCCCTCGGCCGTTCTCAGGCTGGGAAGGAAAGCGGGATCCAGCAAGATCGCTTCCCCCCCCCTTCGCAGAGTGGAGGGTGGAATGCTACCCTTCTTCTAAACTCAGGGGAACTGCCCCCTCCCTCCGACCATCGCCTTCTGGAGACACTCGGGACCCTGCGGAGGTCCCAGGCGAGCTGTCCTCCTGCTCGGGCCCTCACCTTTCTCTACCTGTCCTGTCCAGGAGCCGGCCATGTCAGTCACCCGGGCGCAGGCGCCTGCTGGCCGGGCCCCTCGGTGCTTCAATTGCTTCTTGACCACCCCAGATGCAAGAAGGGGGCTTTTTGAAGAGGGGAAGCTGCGTGGAGGCCAGAGGCCGACTCAGGCCCCCACAGCAAACTGTGGGTCCTCGTCCTTTGCGCTCCCGGTTGTTTCTGGTGACAAAGTGGGGCCAGGCAGGGCTGGCGACCCACCCCTGCATCCCCCTACCTATGAGCGAAGCCTGCTTCCTGGGATCCCCTGAGGCCAGCCCCTGGAGCACGCAAGAGGGTTTGGGGAGCTGGCCAAGCAGCTGCAACCATCCCTCTCCTCCCTCCACCCCGCCCACCCCATGCCTTTGGCAGCACAGAGAGAGAGAGAGAGAGAGAGAGAGAGGGATCAGCTTGGCTGCCCTCCATCTTTCTTCCCCAGCCTTGCAACCACCTTGCTTCCCTCTCTCTCTCTCTGTCCAGGGGCACTGCCAGCTCTCCGCCTGCC